ACTTCATTCAGAATTACAGTAACCCCAAACTTGCATACTTTGACTATTATTGTCCATTCAGCGTAAAAAATAAAAAATTACGTATTTGGTAAAAAAAATTGATTGCTAAGGTTGATAAATTGAAAATATAAACAAAAGGTTGAAAGATATACTTTCTCAATCTTTTGCAAACGCTCTCTAACATCATCTTATGCACTCTGTTGAGTGGAGTTCATTTGACTTAGCTTCTAATGATTAGCTGGGTTACAATTATTAATTGTTTCAATTTACTCATATGATTAGATTCTTCAGTTCTTCACAATTGATTTATTTGCATTTTCACGTACTTTTGCTCTTCAAATTTTTTACCAATAGGTTTCAATTTAATTAAAATGGGAAATTCGAAGGGGGTGCATTTTTAAAACAAAATTGCATTGTGCACATACACATAAGGATCTTACGATGTTTTTAAAGGTGTTCAGTATCTGAATGTTTAATCTTAAACCAAACATGGGTTCATGATATCCAAGAGCAGAAAAGATCAAATGCTAATTGATCTGATCTTGATTGTTGTGTGTATTTTTGTTTGTGATCTGAATTCATTCGTTAATTGATATATTGATCAAATATTGTTTCTTATGGTAGACACTTGCATGTCAAGTTTCTTGGCCCCTTTGACAAGTTTTGTTTAGCGTGGGATATCAACTTCCCTTATGCATGAAAATCGGTGGACATTTTCTAGAAATAGGTGGATATCGGGTTCTATCCCATAAGTCAATCTAATATCACGAGTATACGTAACTCATGTATACTCACAACCTGAAACTTTGTCTGGATCATGTCATCATTCACTTTTTTCACTAGTTCGTCATTGTCATTTTCTTTATAATTACATCATCATTTTTCATAAGAGACCCACACAGCCACACCATGATTACGCACCATGGTTACACATCGATTTGACTCTGATATCATGTTAAGACTTGATGTTTCATCCTAATAGGTCAACCAAATATGTTACTCAATAGGTTACTCATCTTCTTGATCAATGCCACATCCAAATATTGACGGTGATGCATGAAGTTGGTTAATAAATCACTATTTTCTCTGGAACCATAAGAATATGTATTGTCTATTGTGGATATTAGTCAATCTTATATTTTTCTTAGAAAAAAAGGTCAAATAAGTCCTTCTATTATTTTCAATCTTCACTAAGCTCATGTACTCAAATAAAGTACTATCGTATCATATAAGTACACTTTCTCTAAAAAGTTGATCAATTTGACTATTTAATCTGTTTTTGACCTATAATAACATGTTTTATACTTAAAAATCTAAAAATTGTTAGAATTTGAAGAAGAAGAAGAAGAATATACAAAAATTGGAAAAAAATTCGGAATATCAAAGCCAATACTTGTGAAATTTTAAGATTACTTTTGTATTCTACATCTATTTAAAAGATGTTTAAGTTTTGAAATAATTACATAAATATGACCAAAATAAAGATGATTTGCAAAAATATGACTAATTACTAGACTAGTAATGAAATCATAGTAATTCATGTTCAAGTTTTGAACCTAAGTTACCACAACATTACGTTGTAGTAATGAATAGTCATATTAATGTAAATAACTTTTATTTTAGTAATAATCTGGTAAAAAACCCTTAAATTTTTTATTTTTTATTTTTTTATTTTAACGTTTTTTACTTTTTAATTTTTTTTATCTACTTTTACATTTACACTATTCCTTATACTATTATTAGATTATTTATTCAAATTTATATTAAGTTTTACAAGATTTATCAATATTTCTAATATAAAGTTCAAAAATTAATATGCTATATATAGCAAGTCAAATGGCTTGATTGACTGCATTTTAGAAGTAAATGTACATATATGACGCTTTTTAAGTAGAATGGCATATGTGATGAATTGAAAATAGTAGGAGGGTGTATTTGACATTTTCCCTCTTTTTCTTATATTAATGTACCTTTTTGTTTCGTCCCCTACATCATCGTTTGAAAGTCTCATATTAGATGGAATGTCAACCATCAATATTAAGGTATGTATTAGATATTTCTCAGTTTGTTAATGATACTTTTGTTAAGGAATTAGAAAAGTAAAGTCCAGCTCTTATTTGAATTTGAATTTTTTATTTTGTTCTTGTGTCCTCTTTCATGATAAAAGCATATTAAATACTTAATTTTTAAGGTCACAAATTTTAACATGTCAAGTACTCAAATCAAATCAAAAAAGTACTAACAACTCTATCAAATCAACATATAATATACATTTTTCAATATATAAAAGAATTGGACATTTTGTTTAGTCGCGCAACGCGCGTGTAGAAATTCAAATGGTCTTTGATTGTCAATTAATTAACTTTGCTTCCACCGATTAACAAAAGTGACGTGCTTCTGTGTTTTTCATTTTTAGGAAGATCATGCTTTTCAAATTTTGAAGCTTCTCGACCATTGTTTGGGATTCATTCTGTTTTGGATTCTATGTGTAATCTTATATCCACAATTATATTTGATAATACATGAAATTACATCTTTTTATATGCGAGTTACATCTTCATGTGCAAGAGTTACATCTTTTTAAAAGCGAGTTACATGTTCTGAAGCGCGGGTTACATTTGTAATAACATGAGTTACATAAAAAAAACCCTGATATTCAAACAAAAAAATGATTTTTTTTAAATCCTTTATCAGGTCATGATATTAAAAACCAAACATTTTTTTTTTTGAAAAATTAAAAAACAAACAAACATTGTTCAATTAAAAACCAAACATATTCACAGTTTTTACATAAAGTAATTGTGCAATTAAACTCTCTTTTTCATTGTTTACATTAAAATCAATGTTTTATTTCTTATACTATGTATTCGATAAGTTGCATTTCGAATGGACTTGAGTTACATTGATCAATAACGTGAGTTACATATCTTTAAACGCGAGTTACATCATTCATACTATTGGGATAAAAAAACAGTTATTATACACGCGTGTACTATTCACGCCATACTGTTTACGCGAATTTTTTCAAAAAAATGTGCAAAAGTACGTTGTTTTGGGTGTAGGAGCACGGTGCCACCGTGGGGTAGTCCTGGACTCGGGCCGGGTGGCCCGACCGGAATCGGCCCAGGACCGGTACTGTGCTGAACCGGCCCGGCCTGGTGGCCCGGCCAGTGACCGGCCCGGGTAGGCCCGGACCGGGGGGTTCCTGGTGCGGGCTCGAGTCACCCAAAAGTTGAACCGGCCCGGCCAGTTCGGGTCCGGTTTCGGGCTTTTTTTTCCCAATTTTTTTTAACTTTTCGGGTTGGGCTGGGTATTTTGGGCCATTTGGGGTGGTTTGGGGGGTTGGGGGTGATGGGGGTTAATTAGGAAAAGGAAAAAAAATTGACCCTAGGCCCGACCCGGACCGGACCCGGTGGCAACCCGGGCCGGTCCCGGGCCCACCTATTCAAAACCGGTGGCCAGCCCGGGCTTAGGCCCGACCCGACCCGACCCGGCCCGAATCCAGCCCTGCCGTGGGGTTATACCACGGTATACGAACTCCCAATTGTTAACTTCGTATGTTTTTATGTTCATTGGTTTAAGAACCATCATAAAATATTTATCTTATTTTGCAATTGTTAAAATGTTCTTACTTGAGCAACTTATAGAGTTTGATTATATTAGTATCGATATCGTCAAACTTTTATAAAACTCCCACGATTCGGCTTATATTCTAAACACGGACTAGAAACAGTACAATCCCATGAGGATGATGGAATGCTACAACAACAAAAGACTGATAATCCACTAATCCAGTAATGTTCTACTTCTCTATAGCATAATAGCATATATGTAGTACATGGTATAACCTACGCTCTTTCAATTAGTAAAAAGTAAAACCTTGTAACCTGTGAGTTAAATGTTCTATAATACCAAATGTCACTTCACGAGCACTCCAGTTTCTCATGCCCATCGGTTTCCAACCTCAAATGAAAAATGAAGAACCCATAAGTTATAGAATAACTTATATAACCTGGGAATTAAACGTGGTTATGAAAATTGATGAAACAATAAATCACCACATAAAATGTAAGAAAATTGGATGTCACCAAATATATTACACCCTATGTTGCACGGATACGGATACGCGGATACGTCGATACGCAGATACGGGTACGGCGATACGGCAACTTCGAAAATTATAGGATACGGGTACGGGGGTATATTTATAAATAATAAAAATATAGGGTATGATTTGCAATTACATATAATCCAAGAGTTCATAAATAAAGTGATGATAGTACGAAAAATTACAATCGTAATAAAATTTCAGAAATCAACTAAAGTACCAATATTGCAATTTCTAATTAAATAACATTTGATTCGCTGCTCGCATTTGATTTTGGCATCTACGGTCTTCTGAGTCTCATGATTGCGTAAGAAATTTGGGGCCTTAAGTTTAGATACGTGTATCCCGGACCGGATACGGGTATCGGAAGTTTTTATTTTTTTTAAAATAAGTCCGATACTTTTAGTAAATTACGGATACGGACCCAATACGTACGGGACGTGTATCGGTGAGTATCAGATACGGATACGTATCGGATACGCGGATACGGCATCTGAATGAAGTATCGGTGCAACATAGATTACACCAAAAGGACTTTAGAGTTTTGTGTAGAACATATGCAAGGAGAACCAAAGGAAACATCCCTTATAAAGGGCTACAAATGCCTTATATTCAGGGAAAGCAGCCCGTACTTATGTCACAGAAAACCACTTTGGCTTTAGGAGACGCACGAGGGTAGGAGATCATCTCCCTTGGTACTTTTAAAGTCACAGAGGCATCAATGCGATCTGATTCCGTAATTAAAACTTCCTGAAGGGACGGAGACTTTGATAGAATTAATTTGATAAAGAGCATTTCCTGTCTTGATCCGCTAAATGATTTCATCTTGACTATTCTAAGCTCGCCGAGATCCAGATCACTAAACCAGGCGTCCATATTACTCAAAATAGTTGGATCAGCTTCACCATGCAAATGTGACTACATGACAATAATTGAAAATATATTAGAACATAAGGGCCTGTTTACTAACAGAAATATTTTCCAGTTTTCCAGAAAACTGGAAAACTGGAAAACAGAAAACAGGAAACGTGTTTACCAAAGAAATTCCTGGAAAACTGGAGAAAGGAAAAAAGAAAAACGCGTTTACCAAATCGTTTTCCAAAACGGAAAAAATGAAACATGTCTCTCTTTTCCTTAATGATTTGGAGAAGTGACTTTTACTAGTTTTCCAAATTTGGAAAATGCAGATATTACAGTGCCTTTGCAATGAATTTGCATACTTACACCTAGTGGTGGGTCTGGTCCTTATACCCTAGTATTAGTTTTCAATTAACTTTTTTTTGTTGATAAAGGGTAGCTAACAATTCAAAACTAAATCGAACTATTAACTAATTGGTTTTGTATCTTCACAAATTGTCCTAAATAGGAGTAAAAAACGTTTTGAAATTCTAATATAGGATCATCATGTTTTTTATTTCCTTAATAGGAGTAATCTGCCAAATTTGAAAAAAATGTCATGTTTAAAAATAGGGGTGGACTTGGGCCGGTTCGGGCCCGGCCGGTTCGCGGTTCAGAAATTCTAGGCCCGAGCCCGAACCGCCGGTGGCCGGTTCCGGGCCAAACCGGGTCGGGCCGGGCCAACCGGCCCACATATTTTTTTTTTGGTTTTTGGTTCTCCTATTTACCCCCCTACCCCTCCCCCTCAACCCTAAACCATCCCAAACCACCTCAAATGGCCAAAAATACCTAATCCAACCTAAAACTTAAAAAAATTTCAAAAAAAAAAAAAAACAAAATCCGACCCGGACCGGGCTCGAACCGGCCGGTCCGGTTCACCAAAAGCTGGGCACGAGCCCAGACCGCCCAGCACTTGGGCCGGGCCAAACCGAACCGGTGGACCCACCGGGCCACGGGTCGGGCCGGGCCAAACAGTGACCGGGCCGGGCCGGTCCTGGGTCGGGCCGACCGGCCCGAGTCCACCCCTATTTAAAAAGAATAATAATGCCAAACTTGGTAGAAATTTATTCATATTCAGTGAATAAAAAACATGATAGTTCTATTTTGGAATTTCAAAAGGTTTTTACTACTATTTAGGGAATTCGCTCTCATATCTTTTGTGTATAAATTTATATTCAAAACATATTTGGTAATTAAATTACACTAATATTTTGGGGCATCTTACGAGTATGTTAACCATGTTTTACCAAATATTAGGGCCTGTTTACTAACAGAAATATTTTCCAGTTTTCCAGAAAACTGGAAAACTGGAAAACATAAAACAGGGAACGTGTTTACCAAAGAAATTCCTGGAAAACTGGAGAAAGGAAAAAAGAAAAACGCGTTTACCAAATCGTTTTCCAAAACGGAAAAAATGAAACACGTCTCTCTTTTCCTTAATGATTTGGAGAAGTGACTTTTACTAGTTTTCCAAATTTGGAAAACGCAGATGCTACAGTGCCTTTGCAATGAATTTGCATACTTACACCTAGTGGTGGGTCCGGTCCCGCTCCGATGTCGATTCCATTCCGGTACCTCCATCCTCGTACCTTATTCCTTACCCCTACCCTACCCTACCCACCCAACCCCCACCCCGCGTACCCATTTTTCCCCACCACATGCCCCAACCTCGGCCCCACCCCGATCCACCCTACCCTACCGCCACCCCCCTACCACCTCGACCCCACCTCGATCCACCCTACCCTACCGCCACCCCCCTACCACCTCGACCCCACCCCGACCAACCCTACCCTACCCCCACCCCTCGTATATTACCACTTACCCCTACCTTACCCCTTACCACATGCCTCCTACCTCGGCCCCACCCTGGTCCCGACCCCACCCTACCGCCATACTATCCCAACTCCGTACCCTACCCCTACCTTACCCCAACCCCAAACCCCACCCATTACCCCCGCCCTTACCGCCATCCTACCCCTTCCCTACCCCGGCCCCACCCTAGTCCTGACCCCACCCTACCGCCATCATATCCCAACTCCCTACCCTACCCCTACCCCTACCTTACCCAACCCTACCCACTACCCCACCCTTTACCTTAACCACGACCCTAACCCACCAACTACCCCCCACCCAACCCCCTACCCCTAGACCTTACCACCCCACCCCGACCATATCCCTTACCCTACCCCACCCATAACTTCCCTACCCGACCCCTACGAGTAGGTATGAGTGGGTATGAAGGGTTGTGGCGGAGTATGGGTAGAGTGTAAGATCGTGGTAAGGGTAGAGGTAGGGGTCAAGGGTGTGGAATTGGAGAACCGTGTTAAAAAATTGATGAACATGTTTTCAAATTTGAAAATGGAAAACTAAAAAATAGAAACAGAAAATTGGAGATAGAAAAACTGAAAAATAAAAACAGAAAATTGGAGAACGAAAAACAGAAGTAGAAAACAGGAAAATATCTCTGTTAGTAAACAGGCCCTAAATATCCCGATCTTAATCACAAAAAAAGATGGGTAATTGGAGGATATTACAACCTGGTGCTTTCTTATAAATATCTCCAGTTCGCGTAGCTTTGGGCATTTCCGAAGCAATTGAATAACAAAATTAACGCAATTCACATCAGTAAACCTAAAAGTATGCAGCTCAATCACTTGCAGGTTTGTAGCAATTGGAAGCCTCTCTTGCATATTTATTGGAGCATCAATGTTATACTTTATAAAGTCAAAAACAAAACAAAGTAAGTGGTTAACCTTGAATGGCACAAGAACTCTCAAAGACTAGACAAAAACATATTTATCATGGGGCCTAGTCTTTACGAATGGTCCAACATTTTATAATGGCATGATTCTCACCACAAACGTAGATGCACCGAAGCAAAGAGTCTTAATGACAGGAAAATGAAGCTCAAACCATTTCCATTCAGCCACGAAATGAGCGTCCATGAAGCTGAGGTATTTAAGTCTTGGAGCATTGATCACAAACTTATCTATCCCATTACAATCCCAGAACACTAGCACCTCAAGACAAGGAATACAAGGGATAACTTTGAGGCTATCAGCACGGTAAAACTCAACATAAGTGAAATCTAAAGAGGTAACACCAGAAAACATACTACCCGGTCGAATATTGACCGGCAAACTAACATCCATATTGATACAACCTGTGTTGAATCAGGAAGCCCTTGTTTGAGTAAGGGTGTACTCCAGAAAGAAACAAGAAGAAGAGAATAGCAGTTCAGATAAAGTTGCAGTTCATTACTTGGATGACATCTCAATGTAGTTTAAATACTGCTAAATTACATGGAATGCAAGGAAACAGGGCACTACGTTCATAAACTGAAATAGGAATAACTAACAAACACCACTACGTTAATGCATGATAAAATCCTCAAAGTGCGCTGGTTGTTTCTTCGTGCGCTCCGACCTACGTGTGCTGACCAGGTCCTCCCGATTGTCACGCACACTCACTGCCTTTGTCGTATCACTCACTGCCTTTGTCGTATCACTCTCCCCTGCTTCGAAAATGACCTTGTCCTCAAGGTTTAAGTTGGGAAACATTGCAGTAATTTCACTAGCATCAATCCATGAGACATCGTCTTGCGAACTCCCCGGCCAGTGAACTAATACTTGAGGCTCTTGATGACCATTGCGGAGAATGTGCCTGGTGCCACAAATGGTAATGGGGATATTGTGGGAATCATCGAGTAAATCTGCTGGCAGAATGGGAGACGATGCTGGGGCCACCCCAGTGAAGGGCCGCAGCAGCGACACATGGAAAACCGGGTGAATACGGGACCCCGGAGGAAGATCCAGGCGGTAAGAGACCTGACCGATCCGTTCTAGCACTTTGAAAGGCCCAAAATAGCGTTTTGATAATTTATGAGAACGTCGATGGGCGACGGAGTTTTGGCGAAACGGTTGTAACTTGAGCAGAACCAAATCGCCAACTTGAAACACAACCTCACGGCGATGTTTATTAGCCTTCTGTACCATACGATGTTGGGCTTGTTGAATGGACTCCCGCAAAAACTTCAGAATTTTATCCCTTTCAGTGAGTAATGAATCAAGGGCTTGAATGTTGGTAGAGTTGGAAGTGTAGCGGGGAATCACCGGAGGAGTGCGCCCGTAAAGAGCTTGGAAAGGAGTCATCTGGATACTTTCATTATAGCTTGTATTATAGCAAAATTCTGCCCAGCTCAAGAATTCAAACCAAGTGTTAGGCTTCTCCATTGCGAATGCGCGTAGGTATTGTTCCAGGCCTCTATTTACCACCTCTGATTGGCCATCGGTCTGAGGATGGTATGCCGTACTATGCTTCAACTTGGAACCACTAAGTTCAAAAAGCTTTTCCCAAAATTTGCTGAGAAAGAGAGGATCCCTATCAGATATGATGACACTAGGGAATCCATGCAACTTGACGACAATATCAACAAATAAATGAGCTACGCGAACAGCATTGAACTTGGCAGGAAGAGCGCCAAAGTGAGCGGATTTAGTGAGTCGGTCCACCACTACCAAGATCGAAGAAAACCCATGTGATAGAGGCAAACCAACTATAAAATCCATGGTAAGCTCATTCCAAACTTGATCCGGGATAGGCAAAGGTTGTAAGGGTCCAGCTGGTGCTTTGGTGAGGTATTTTGTTTGTTGGCAGACAAGGCAAGAGGCCACATAATCTTCCACCATACGCCGCATGTTAGGCCAATAAAAAATTGCTGCAAGTTTGACCAACGTCCTCTTTATGCCGGCATGACCTCCCACTTTGGAGCAATGAAATTCATGAAGTAGATCATCGATTAAAGAAGAATGTGAGCTGAGATAATACCGTGATTTGTAGAGCAAGACACCATTGTTCTGAGTGTAGTCGGATGAGAGACTCCCTGCTTCCAGTTGTTCATGTAAACGACGGAGGTCATGGAACTGTAAATTTTCTTCCCGCAGCACACCCAAAAAATCCGGTGTGGGTCTGCTAGCTAACAATAGACAAACTGGTTGCTCATCAATTCGGGAGAGGGCATCAGCGGCCTTGTTAACCGTGCCAGGCTTGTACTCAATCTTGAAATCAAAGCCCAAAAGTTTATTAACATATTTATGTTGGTCTGGGGTTAACACGACCTGATGAAATAACTCTTTGAGACTCTGATGATCAGTCCGAATAATGAAGGAGTGCCCGAGGAGATACTGCCGCCATTTACGCACCGCTTCGGTGAGAGCATGAAGTTCACGAATATAGGTAGATGCATTTTGCAATCTGGGACCAAGTTTCTTACTAAAATAAGAAATGGGATGTTCGCTTTGCATGAGTACGGCTCCAATACCCGTATTCGATGCATCAGTCTCTACGACGAAAACCAACTCGAAATTCGGTAGACACAAGACAGGGGCAGTGGTGAGTGCCATTTTGAGATTTTCAAAAGCATCATTGGCGCTATCCGTCCAGCGAAAGTTATCTTTGCGTAATAAATCTGTGAGAGGGCTGCCACAGTAGCATAACCTTTGATAAAACGGCGATAGTAGCCTGCCAACCCCAGAAAGCCCCGAAGATGACGCACTGTTTTCGGGGTAGGCCATGAGACGATAGCAGCAACTTTACTTGGATCCACGCGTACCCCTTCTTTAGTGATAATATGCCCCAGGTATTCTGTGGAATCTTGGCAGAAAACACACTTAGAGAGCTTCAAATAAAAAGCATGGTGGAGTAAGCATGTCAAAACCTGGCGCAGATGGTGAAGGTGTTGCTCCTGTGTCTTGCTGTAAATCAATATGTCATCAAAAAATACAGTGACGAACTTGCGCAAAAAAGGAGCTAGTATGGAATTCATGGCTGCTTGAAAGGTGGATGGCGCATTAGTCAAACCAAACGGCATCACTAAAAATTCGAAGTGACCATCATGAGTTCGGAATGCTGTTTTATAAATGTCCCGTGTATGCACTCGTATTTGGTGGTATCCCGCACGCAAGTCAAGCTTAGTGAATATGATGGCGCCACCCAACTCATCAAATAGCTCATCAGCCGTTGGGATGGGAAATTTATCACGGACAGTGACCGCGTTGAGGGCTCGGTAGTCGACACAAAATCTGTAGGTACCGTCTTTCTTGCGAACCAACAACACTGGCGATGAAAAGGGGCTGCGGCTAGGCTGAATAATTCCTTGTTCCAACATTTCCCGCACGAGCCTTTCCATTTCGTTCTTTTGAAAGTGAGGGTAGCGGTAAGGCCGGACGTTAACGGGTTTGGTGTTAGGCAGGAGGTGTATCTGGTGGTCAAACGGACGTTTTGGCGGTAGAGACTGGGGGGTCTCGAATAAATGGGAAAATTCGAGGAGAAGTTGTTGGAAGGGATATGGCAGGTGCGCAGGTATAGTGATTGGAGCTTGCTGTTGTGAGGGGTTGCTTATGGCTACTGGTTCGGGGTGCAATTGGTAAAGAGCATAAATACAGTTTGCCTCCCTGGAGTCCACTATGGCTTGTAACTGTGCAAACGAAATTGGTTGGGGTTCGAATGAGGTCTCTCCTTTAAGTGTGATGAACTTACCTTCATGCTTGAATTTCATAACCAAATTGGCATAATCATGAGCTACTGTGCCCAAGTTTTGCAACCATTGGACACCGAGAACAATGTCAGGCCCTGCAATTGGAAGAACATGCAGATCGATGTGGAATGTGGTGCCTTGCAAGACCACTGTGACATTTGGGCAGAAGTGCTGACATAAAAGAGTGTCACCATTGCCGATGGAAACTTTAAATGGTTTGACAGGTCTGATAGGTAGATGGAGGGCCTCAACAGTGGAAGGCTTGATGAAGTTATGGGTACTCCCACTGTCGATCATCACCAAACATTGGTGCTTGCCTACGCCTCCCCAAAGCCGCAAAGAGCGAGGATTGTTGTGCCCTGACAGTGTGTTCAAGGCAGAAATGTCCCCCTCAATCTCCTCTCCCCCGTTATCAGCAAGGAGGAGTGATTCTGGATCCTGAAGCTCGTTCTCGTCCTGCTCGGCTGCGATTAGTAAATGTAATTTACTACGACATTTGTGTCCCGGAGAGTACCGTTGGTCACAATAGAAGCACAAGCCCTTCTCCCTGCGTGCTTGGATTTCCGCTGCGCTCATTCTCCGGACTGGAATATTGTTGTTAGTTGGAATGGTCGTAGTGGGTGTAGGCAGAATCCCTTTGGCAGATGAGGTCGGGACAGTGTTGGAAGTTGGGCTCCTTGACTCCATCACACGACCATCCGACCACGTTGTTGAGGTTTTCAGACCCCAGCCTTTGAACGATGTCCGCTGCTCCTGTTGGGTCTCGTCGTGGCGTGCTTCAAATGCTTTAGCCAATTTGAAAGCTCCCAAAAGTGATTGGGGTTTGGCTATCAATAGCTCTCTCTTCAAAACTGGCTTTAACCCTCCCACAAAAAAAGATATCAATAATGGTTCTTGGATTCCCGTCACTTTGTTCATGAGCTTCTCAAATTCAGCCTGAAATTCAGCCACCGTCCCTCTCTGTGTTAACTTTGCTAATTCGGCAGAATGATCCTCAAATTGATGCAGGCCAAACCGCAGGAGCAATTTTTCCAGAAAATCATGCCAACCAAAAATAAGGTTATTGTTCTTTGTCCAGCGGTACCACTCAGAGGCGTCCTTCTCGAGACAAAAACTAGCGATCTGCAAGCGTTGATCCTCAGGGGTTTTATGGAAATCAAAATACGCCTGAATGTTGAATATCCATTGGTGAGGATCATCTCCGTTAAACTTTGGTATCTCAAGTTTCATGGTGTGTGGCCGAGACATGGGTGACCCTGCAACTGCGAACCCAGCAGGTACCAGACCAGTGCCATCAGGTGGTCGCCCCGGGGGCGTGGTGGGATGGTTAGGCGGAACTTCCTTCCCGATTGTCTGCAAGCGCGCCTCCAGCGAGGCCGTCAATGAAGTTATCTGATCCTCAATTTGACCTTGGATGCGGGCTTCTTGCGTGGCCAGTTGCTCACATATTTGGGTGTGGAAGTTATCGAGCACTTGTTGAAGCTTGGAAAAATCAAAGGGGTTATCTGATGTACCCGGCATGGTGTGGATACAACCGCAATGAAAGCACCAGTGATA